AAATTGGCTATCACATAGGGAGCTTGTTTGCTCCCTATGTGATAGCAATAATGTTAAGTGGAAAAAAAAAATAAAAAAAAATTAAAGTCACATATCAAAGCAATAATAATACAAAAAATTAAAGTCCCCCGCCCCCACATGCACACATGCGTCGAGTCCGCCTACGTGCGAAAATGACAATTACATACATTGCGCCGCACATGTTACATATCGCCGCGAACGTCTGAGAGCAATAATTATAGGGCCATTAATCACCGATAACACTAAACTGATGAGCGGTAAAAGCTTTTAAAGCGTCGGCTATTGTAGTTTTTCTGCGATTTCGCGGGTGCGCGCAATTTTGAAGCTTGACATGTTTGGTGTCTATTTACCCAACGTGACCCCGTCTTTTATATTTTACCAAAAAATTGGGTAATAAGAAATGTTTTATAACATAACGATGGGAGAACAGTTTTTTTTTCAAAATTTTCGGTACTTTTTTCATTATATAGTAACAAAACAACCCGTAGTGGTGATTGAATACCACCAAAAGAAAGCTCTATCTGTCCCCATAAAAATGGTATAAAATTAATTTCAGTACAGCGTTGCATGACGGAATAAATGTCAAAGTAACGCAGCGCTGAATACTGAAAAATGGCCTGGACAGGAAGGGGGGTATAAACACCCTGGTCAGCAAGTGGTTAACATATGTGTTTGCCTGCACTTTCCGAACGCTGTAGGTTTAGTACATTTTTGGGTCCTGACAAGTTATTTGATGTACAAATAAAGACTTCTCAGCCATATGTATAGCTGGTAAAAAAACTCATAAGCTGCTCTGTGACCTGAAATTCCATCACAGACCTGAGATATTACCGGTATATATTTCCCAAATTTCCGTTCTGGTGGAAACCCTTTAGGCCCCTTTCACAGTTGCAATCTGTTCAGATCCACCTGAAAAATTGACAGGTGGATCTGAAGAGCGTGTACGTGTGAAATGGGCCTAAAGGGTTTCCACCAGGATAGAAATATGGGAAATTACTTTGTCACTTTTTTTTTTACATGAACAAGCTCTTAAGCTGGCCATACACCCTACAATTATCTGCAGATTTTCCGTGGTCAGATGGAAAAAGTGCAACAGATTCCTCCATCTATGCCGAGCTGTGTGGATGGAGTAATCTCCCACTGGCCAAGCTTCAGTATCTTGTTAGTCGGCCCCGCTGGCTGTCAAAACACCTGAACAATGCCTGCATTAAATCAGATTGTTCGGGTATTTTGGGAGCTAGCGGGGCCGACTAACAAGATACTGAAGCTTGGCCCAGGTGTAGATTCCTCCATCCACACAGCTCAGCATAGATGGAGGAATCTGTTCCACCTTTTCCATCTGACCATAGAAAATCTGCAGATAATTGTAAGGTGTGTGGGCACCTTCAGGCTGTCACCATTGATAAATCTGATCAGAAGCCCAATGTAACTATGGGCAGGTGGTTCTAATTGGACATGCATTTGGTTACATCTAATAACCCCTCGACTCCCTCTAAAGGTGCCCATACACTGTGCGATTATCGCACGATAATCGTGGGAAATCCCGCGATCGTACGATAATCGCAAAGTGTATGGCAGGCATGCAACTTTTTTTACTGTACGGTCGCATGTCTTTTGTCTAAGGAGCATGTTCGAAAACCAGCCGAAAATCTTACGATTTTCGGCTGTTTTGTAGCATGCTCGGGAGACAAATGCCGAACGGGCCAGTGTGCGCACACGCACACTGCACATTCAGCATTGCGGTCATCGGGAAGCCCGCCCCTGAATGGTGCGGGCTTCCGATGATCGCAAGTACGATCTGCCTGTCCAAGATGGGCAGATCGTGCGTTTTTTTAAATTACTTTACAACAATTGCAAGACTAAGGTCTTGCGATGGTTGTAAAGTGTATGGCCACCTTAAGTCTGGACACAAAAAAAAAAATGGAACAGAGTTCTGTTTTGGCAGACCTGATCATGATGGATCGGATGTGAACAGACACATCTGCTTACAGCTGACTGCCCATAGGCCTAACATGGGTCCAAACAGTTCAGCTAAATATGCTGTGTGAATAGGAACACAACAGAGGAGTCTACTCAAATTTAGCTGCAAAAGTACTTTAACCGCTTGAAGACCAGGTGTTTAGACCCCCTTCCCATCCAGGCCATTTTTCAGTATTCAGCGCTGCGGTACTTTGACTGACGTTTATTCCGTCATGCAACGCTGTACTGAAATGAATTTTATACCCTTTTTTGGGGACAGATAGAGCTTTCTTTTGGTGGTATTTAATTACCACTGGGGTTTTTATGTTTTACTATATAATGAAAAATGTTCCGAAAATTTAAAAAAAAAATAGACACCAAACATGTCAAGCCTTAAAATTGCCGGCACCCACAAAATCGCTAAAAACTACCATACCCAAAATTGACCATAGGCGACGCTTTAAAAGCTTTTACCGCTCATCAGTTTAGTGTTATTAGTGACTGATGAGCCTAGAATTATTGCTCTCACTGCGACGTTCACAGCGATATGTAACATGTGCAGCGTAATAGGCGCAATTGTCGTTTTCACAGTTACATGCACCCAACGCATGTTTGCATGCGTGTATATAGGTGTGGGGACGTTAAAGAAATTTTGTTTTTTTATTCTTTTTCATGTGCGACTTTACAAAAATTTTTGCAACTGACTTTTTTTTTACTTAACGGAATTGTTATCACATAGGGGGCTAATAAACCCCCCTATGTGATAGCAAAGAGATGCGACAGGTCCTCTTTATGGAGACATCAGGGGTCTCCAAGACCCCTAATGTCAGCTAGGGACCCCCAAAGAAGCTGGTGAGACAGCTTCATCAACTTCTCTCCAGCATCTGAAGCCGGAGAGTGACACAAAAATGCGGAAGCAATGCAATATACATCACTTCCTGCATTCCGACAACACAGAGGGGATCGGAGGGAGAACGTGTAGTGATCTCCCTCTGATCCTGTCACAGAGCCACCGTGCTTGTCCCGGGCTCGCACCGGGCACACCGGAGCTCGGGACCAGTGGAGGGGGTGTTTGCACGATCTGACGAGGACCAGCTGACGGGGGGGGGTCGTCGTCGCACAATCGGCACCCTATATAAGAGATCTCTCCCTGTTTTTTAAATTCAAGCAGTTTCCCAAGCGAGTGGGCAGGGCCAACAGGCCATCTTTACATGGCCGGTCACATCCAAGAAGCTCCCGGCCGGCCACTTTGTGACAACGGCTGGCCCGGAGGCAGTCGAGCTAATGTAATCACAATTCAGAATCTGGCCATCTATGCAAGCAGGTGATAAAATATGCACTGTTCCAGAATATAGATTGAGTAAGCACAAATACCTGCAATCTGGAATAATGGGCAAATGCAACATGTGAGATCTACTTATAATATGGCTCCAAGAGAAATATTTCATAAGGATCACTCTACCATACAATAATGTAAAATGACTATTGTAAAATAATAAAAGGCATTACATTCAGAAACTTTGAAATTGTATAATTACTGTTACTTTCCTTGTGCCACCCCTGCCTCTGATCTACAAGCTCTGAAGGTTCTAAAATGTGCTCTTAAAATAAACTTAGCGTCCTTACTTTTCTCTTCTTTGCTCGTTCATGTCGAACTTGTTCATATTCCTCTTTCGCTTTCTGATTTGATGTTTTCTTCTTAAATTTCTTTTTTGGCCTAAACATGGAAAACAATGTTGTATTGAAATTAACCAATGAAAAAAGATGATATTATGTTAAAACAGATCTAAATCCAAAAACAAAGGCATCATATTTATCAGCCGTTAGATGTAGTGGCTACATTCATTTTATTTTTTTGTCAGGCTTTTTATTTTATTTTCACCTGTTCAAGCACGTTTTGGTTTTATTTAATCTATTAATTTTAGATCCTGCGACTAACACAATGTCTTAGGGTGGCAACACTCATTCACTGTACTGTATCTATGGAGAAATGAATGCAGAAATCCAGGGTGGAACAATCCAAAACCACCAGCACTCTAAACAAAGGCACATCACAGACAGCATGCCAACGTTTTGGGGCCTCGCATGGTGCCTTCCTCAAAGAGGTGATACAGTGACAATTTGTTTTATTCTTTATTAGAGATGGGGAAAGAAAATAACCTGGAGCTCCACTTTAAAACAAGCTGCAGTTATTTTCCTCTGTGAATAAAAGTGATCTGGGTGGCTGCAGAAATGTGAGCATTCCCGCCATACGTCCAGCGAGGGAACACAGGTCTTCTCCTGTTGTGAAACATGTTGCACGATAGTTAGCAGGAGGGCTTGAAAAATACACTTGCCCTCTCCTCTGTGACGCAAGCACATGGAGCCGGACGAGTAGCTTCCTAGTTGGCCGTTGTAATTAAACGACTGGCCAGGAGCTTCTTAGATGGCTGTTTCAGAACCTTAGAAGGGCGAGGCACTGCGCGGCCCAAAGATTAGAAAGTGTGACCATCCACGGCCACCGCAGCTCTCTCGTGCCGCCCGCAGCGATCTTCATGAGACCAGAGGAGCGGGAGAGCTGCTGCCGGCCAGAGGACTGCATTACCCAGCAGGCAGCGGCGCAACGCGCCAAGGGAGGTGTGGCCGTGAAGAGACTGAAGGGGTCCCGAGTTCCAGTCCAGATGACGTGAGGTGGCTCCATGGCGGGAATCAGCATGGGATCCGACACAGACCTACAGAGATCGGGGAGAGCTGCAGCCTGCAGGTACTGTGCTCTGACACCATCAGTAAGTCAGTGGGGGTGATTTACTAACCTAAACACACACACACACACCAGGTGTGTGTGATTTTCACACAGCAAAACGTATTTATCAACCAAAAAGTCTCTAAAAGCATATTTCCACTAATGCCATATATGGAAAAATCATGCACATGATGCATATATAATGCTGCTTCACAGTTTAGACAAAAATGGTTAGCTCATGCATTTACATTCCTGCATTCATCAACGCAAGCAACACAACATAGAGCTAATTTACCCAACATCACCTTGGAATTCCTTCAGGGCTTTGCACAACACACCTGCTGGGTGTGTACACATTACAAAGGTGTTTAGATTCCACCCATAGATCATGCTGGGAGGGAACACACTGCAGAGGTGTATACACGTTCGTGGTGTGTTTATAAGGTTAGTAAATCAACC